GGGGGGGGGGGGGTTCACTTCATATAGAAAGAGCCACACTCAAGTTAGACACATAGAAAATAGATATGATTCCACCTAAGTTGTTATTATATCGATCAGGAACATTCCTAACTCTTCCTTTTATTTGGTTTTAGAATTAAATGGCGGGCCCAATCAAGTGCTATTTTTCAGAATGTGCAATATCAGTACAGTAGTTCATTTTTCAATTTTTTTTTGTTTATCTTTTATTTTGGAAATTGCAACATCAATTGTCTTCTTTTCTGGAAAGTGCAACGTTGATAGTTTGTCTTCCTTTGTGGGAAGTGCAACATCAATAGCTTGTCTTCTTTTTCAGAAAGTACAACACCAATAGTTTGTCTTCTTTTTAGGAAGTGCGACATTCATAGCTTGTCTGGACTGTTTGAGCAAAGTGAAACATCGATATTTTGTCCTGTTGCTAGGGAAGAGCTACATTCATAGTTTTTCTTTTTCAATAAGTGCAAATGCATACGTTGTTCTTTTTAGGACAGTGCAACGTCAGTATTTTGCCTTCTTTTTAAGAAAACGCAGCACAAACAGCTTGTCTTCTTTTAAAAGTTCTCGGCTGAGCACACAAAACAGTAAATTCGTTGCGACGTAATAAAAAACAAAAGCAGAGTGATTACATTTCCTTCACACATGTTCATTTTGCCGCAGGCTGATTAATGTGACGTGACCATCCCAATTTGTTGTTCATCACAACAACTGGGTTAAAAGTAATTTCTAGCATGATCGCGTGGAGGCTTTTCCACTAGCTGTGTGCAGGTGTGTGTGTGTGTGTGTGTCTGTGTGTGTGTGTGTGTGTGTGTGTGTGTGTGTGTGTGTGTGTGTGTGTGTGTTCATATGTGCATACCTCCATGTGTGACACACACACACACACACATACAAAAACTACTCCTTCTCCTCATCCTCATCATCCCCATTGGCGCGATGGGGGAAAAAAATACCCTCCACCCTCCTCCCTCTTTCATTTATCTGCCCCCACTTGCCCCCCTAACGCCCCTAAGCCCCCCATCCCCACCCGTGGCAGCCGATGTCTTTCGCAGCGTGGCGCGCCATCTGTTGTGTTGCCCCCCCCCCTTCCGCCTCCCCCGCTCGCAAACACACTATCCAAGATCAACTCTGTCTTTATACTCGATACAGAGAAAACGTACATTTTGACATTTCGTTGTGTCATGTCATATCTATCTAGCTATCTATCCTTGCATTTCAGCAGGGGTGTGCAGACTTTTGCTCACTTGAAAAGGACTGTCAAACATCAAAGTGGTTTACACGTTGTGCATGCATTTAACAGAACCGCGTTAACTTTTCGTTGCCGAAAGCTGCTTTGCTTAATCCTAAAGCACAAAGCAAAACGCCGTAAATGGGCTAACAAATAGCGTCACTGTGGCGGTGTTATTGAACCTTAAAACAATGTACATAAACTGTGGTGCAACACATGTAGACAGACAATGTGACACCACTCACAAACATATGTTCTTTATCATCGGTGAAGAACCACTAAAATTGCTGTTGCCTATTGACGAATTTCGATTTCAAGGCACCACTGTGTGTTCGAAAATCGGGAGATCAGTTGTCAGTCATTGAAAGAATAAATCTCATGATACTCAAACATTTACCTGGCGATAGCGAGATCCGAAAAACTGATCATTTCACCGCAGTCTCTTAATTTTTTTTTTCCAGATAATTAATGGGGAGAATGCGCGTCCAGTGTCCAAACAGAGGCTGGCATCTGCGCCCGAGGGCATCATTCCGGTTCATTCCGCTGATTTAACCCACAAATGAAAATGGATGCGCTTGCGTTCGCTTTGGCTAAAAAGTGGAGTGACACGTGAACCTTTGTGAGCAGACTTCGACAAATCCTCCCCGAAGCCGCTCCTCTCATCTCCTCAGGTGTAAATGGAGGCGCGCAACCACGGCGACAGCTCATCTGTCAGCCACGGGGGCCGTGAGTGGCACTCTTGGAACGCTACCAAAGCAATTTCTCCAGTGAGGCACCAGCATGCTGTTTGATGGCCCGTATTAGAGGAAAGGGTCTTCGCTTGGTGCTCCTGAAGAGAATTCAAGCAGCCAAGCAAAGGGCGCCAGCACTCGCTTTTCACAGCGAGTCGCCCAAGCCAGAATTTGGTGCCACGCTCCTCCCATATTAGGCAAAGGGAAAAAAAAAAAAATCTTTGCAATTTAGCGTCGCCCGTCTGTCGAGGTTACCTGCTTCCGACACCAAATTCCCCAGGAAAAGCCCTGGAATACACCCAGAATGGAGGCTTCAAAACAAAATGGACTATTTCCTGTTAGCTGTGTCTATGGGGCCTTCAAATTAGGGTCTCGAGTTGGGCTTTCGCATCTGTTTCAAGGTGATGGCTTCAAAGATGATGTTGTTTCCAGACAGTCTTAGGCTGCAAAAACAGAGTTTCGGCCTCAATCCTGCATGGGTTAGGGTTTTCAAATTCATTTTCAGATCAGGTTAGGGTTTGAAATTAGGGTTTGAAGACAGGGATCAATTTTCAATTTTGTTCACAGACAGGTATTCTTCTTCTTATTATTATAATGTATTTCTTTTTTATTATTTGAATCTATTCCTGTCATGAAACCAGAACTCTGGCTTGAAACCCTAACCTGGTCTGGAAAGACTCATTTGAAAATCATTTTCTGCCCCGGAACCCGACGGGTTTGGCTTGTAAAACGTTGTGTGTGCCCACCTCGTGTCAGTTGGTCAAATGGGAGGCAGGGCTGAAGAATGAAGTCCATTTTCACCAGGATTTCAAATTTGTAACGAAGGATCTCATTTCGGAGAGCTTTTTATTCGGAACTCAATTTTACATGACAACAAATTGTATGTTGTTTCATATACAAATGAAGGCCTCCCTCCCTAATAAATGAGAAATGAGAAGTGTGAAAGAGGGAGCGAGAGAGGGAGCCACACAGCAGCTGTCCACCTAATTCCTCCTTAACCAGGGCGCTTGTGCTCTGATTAAGAAAACGATCTGGCCTTTAATTTCCTCGTGACACCGCTTAATGCCTTCCGCGCGTCTCAATCGCCTCGAGGAGCCCGGCTCCTATCGCTCTCTTCTGGCATGAGAGGGAAGCAAAATGGACGCTGGATGCTGGGAAGAGTGGATTTGACCTTCAGATTAAGGTTTCAAGCCAGAGTCATTGTTCCATTGTAATGTTTCAATAGAGGCATAGGGTTTGAATTTTAGGGTATCAAGCCTGGATTAGGGCTCCAATTAAGGGTGTCAAATTGAGGTTTCAAGAATGTTTTCAACTCTGGGGTAGGGTTTCAAGGCAGGGTAAGGTTTCAAATCAGTTTAAAAGCTTCAAGACAAAGTTCAAGTTTCAAATTAGGGCTTCAAACTAGGTTTAGGGTGTCAAAGTAGGATTTGGGGTGAGTGTAAAACTGCGTTAGGGTTTCAAATTAGGGTTAGAGTGCCCAAGTAGGGTTTCAAACTCGAATGAGGACCTGAAATGCTTTTGATTTTCTCCGCCCTCGGTGGCTGATTGCATTTGAAATTCTTCCTTTGTTTCCCTTCTCAAGTAACACTCACGGCGCGGGTTCGTGTGAGCACAGACGCCGCAAATGAAGCCTCAGTAAACAGCACAGCGGGCGGGCGTGCTCGTGAGCGCGAGTGCGCGCGCGTGCGCCACCCGGGCCGCCATGTGGCACGTGTGTGCGCCGAGCGAGGTGGCGTTGCTAGGAGCGCCAGGTTGCGTGCAGAGCAGACAGCGGCACGCATGCACGACTGACACGGCAGCATGGCACTGGAGAAGAAAGGAGTGGAGCAATGCCAACAAGACCCCCACAAGAGCCCCCCCCCCCTCCACACACACCACCACAAATTCGGCCCCTTGAGAGTTGGGGCAGAGGAAGA